CCCTCGCTACGGAAACTGCCCCCAACCCCACCCAGAAAGCGGGCTGGGGAGCCCGGCCCCGCCCAGCACTGCGTGCGCCCCCGAGGAGCCCGGCCGTGTGAGCGGTCTCTGGACCTTCAGTCGGGCTCTGGACCTCCGCGCGTTCCGTCCTTCCGCGCCCGCTTTTGTGCGGAGGAGCCGAATGGGGTGCCGTCTGCGCAGCACCCCCTCAGTCCGCCCGCCGGCTGGCCTCCGGCCCGGGGTTTCCATCCCCCGAGTCTCCTTTCGGGAGAAAGACGGCTGTCTACTCCCGTAGAGTCCGAGCCTCGGAAACTCACCCGGGCCAGTCCACTCTGTTCGAAGGGGTGGCTGTGCGTTGGCAGCGACGCGATGGCAGTGGGTCTGACCTTCTGCCTCCTTTACCCCGTGCAGAGTACGATCGCATCTTCCTTTGAGTTTTTGTTGGCAGTGTATTCATAGCAGAAGATACAGGTCCACATGCACCACTGACTGATGACCCGCTTCACGCGGGCAACCATCTGACCCTCCTTTTCCAAACCATTCCAACCCCGCCTCCCCATCTAACTTTTCAAGTTGCTTTTGTTTCAGCCCATACCGACCCAAACTCAACGCTGCCACGCAGTCCGTTTTGAATCGGGGAGGCCTTATAGGGCAGGGTAGAACGGCTGGCCCTGTGAGTTTCCCAAACTAAATCTTTAAAGCCGGGCTTTCTCCCCCAGAGCGCCTGACGGTTTTGAAGGTGCTTCTGACTGTTCGGATTTTCTGAAAATGGCTTTGATCACAAGTCAAAATCCAGCAGACCGTTTCATTTGAAAATTGTGCTTAGTGCTTTGTTCCTCCGTTTAGAAAACCGCCAGGGACCCCCACTGCCCTAGAAGGGGCAGGTCCGGGCTCAGTGGGGCCTAGCACAATATTGGGGGACCGCTTTAAGATGACAAAATTACAAACCAAACTGCTAGGGCCCTTGAGAAGGGTGTGCGCCAGTGAGGCCCCCTCCCCGTAGTAGGTCCACTCTTACCTGGTGGCTCTGGAATGTTAGTCTAGTATTCTCCAAAAGAGCTTGTTTAAAGTGCACACTTCCAAGTCCTCATTATTCTAATAAGGGCCCCTGTTGGCATAGTTGGTTATACATTGGGCTAACCACATGATCTGCACTTTGAACCCACGAGTGGTCCTGTGGAACAAAGAGGCGGCTTTCTGTTCCTGTAAAGATTCGCAGCCTCGGACACTGACGGGCAGTTTTACCCTGCCCTATAATAGGGTCGGCATCAATCCAAATCAACTCCATGGCAGGCAGTCTGGCATATAGGGTTGCTGCGTCAGAATTCACTCGACAGCAGTGAATTGTAATTTTAAAAGTAAAATATAGAACATGTAGAACCAGGCCTTGGCATCTGTGGTTTAAGCCAACTCTTCAGGCCTCGTGTCCCAGATGTGTCATCCAGCTGAACTTGCCAACCCCCGCCACTGGCCTCTCGTCCCCTCCATGGGTCACGTTTTGCACAGAACGATGGTTCTCAGACCTTGGTGTGGGCCAGAACACGGGGAGACTTCATGAAGGCAAAGGCTGGGCTCCTTGGCACATGGGCTACGGCATGTTAGCCAGATTTACCAGGGGATGCTGGTGCCCACCAAAGTCTGATAGGCTAGTTGTCCTTGCCAGGCACAGGCTGGCATCTGCCTGCCACTTGCCCCACCACTCTCTACCTCCAGGCCGACCAGGTGTCCAGAACCTGCCCCTTAGCCCCCACAAGCTCCACTGTGGCCCAAAATCACAGAACTCATCATGCAGGAGTTTTTATTCTTGTAGATAATTCCGTTGCCCTCCTCTCCTGGGAATCTCCATGTGGGGAGACCTCTCTCCAAGTGTGTTGTGCAGCACAGGTGGGAGCAAGCCTGTCCTTGACCTGAGTTCCCATCCCGACAGGGGAGGAGGCTATTGCAGGAGGCGACAGGTTCATTCATGAGCGGGACCTGGCCTGGCTGCAGCAGGCAGATGGTGAGCAGGGTTCCCTCTACCCAGACTCCTCCGGGAGGGTGGTCTTCCTGGACGTCCCTGTTTTGCATGCCCAGCAGGTCTCCCTAGCACTCCCTTCTCCGCTGCCAGCATGTGTCATCCCTGCCCTGCAGTCGCCAAGTGCCAAACACAGGGCCTCGCCTCAGTCTCCTTTCTCCCCAGTGGTTGTGGCAGAAGTGACGCAGCCGTCCTTGGGTGTTGGCTATGAGCTGGGCCGGGCCATGGCCCTCAACAAGCAAATCCTGTGCCTGTTCCGCCCACAGACTGGCCGAGGTCAGCACCCCAAGTCCTGGGTGCCCCTCCTATGCCCACCCCCCATTCTGACACCTGTCACCCCTTATCTCCTGTCCTGGTGGGCTCTGAATGCAGCATGGGGTGGGGTGTGGAGGGGGTGCCATCACCTTGCCCCGCCCTCCCCAGTGCTGTCAGCGATGGTCCGAGGAGCAGCCGACGGCTCGAGGGTCCAGGTGTGGGACTACGAGGAGGCCGAGGTGGAGGCCATGCTGGACCGCTACTTTGAGGCCGACCCTCCGCAGCACGCGGCTGCCTCCCATGATCCAACTACTTGACCTCACCCCGGGATTCCTTCCTGGCCCCATCCCTGCGTCTGATTAAAGATCAACATTCTGTGTGTGTGTGTCTGTCTGTCTGTCTCTCTGGGGGGGGGGGGGCGGTCCTCAGTAGCCCTTGCACCCTCTTCATTTCACACCAGAGACCTGGTCAAAGTTTGAAGGCCTCCAGGAGAAGGCTCGCTCTGGCACCCCGCCCCTTCACATACACAGCCGGGTCCTGGGGAAGGCAGGGGTTGGGCAGCCATCTCTCCCCAGGGCTCCGAAGTGGGGCCAGTCGGGCAGTGTCACCTGTACCGGCTCTGGACCATGTGGGCCTCGTCTCCCTGAATCAGCTCTGGACTCCTTTCTAAGGACAGAGGTCGACAGAGAACAGTGCATAATAGTCTGGCCCTTGGCGAAGCTGCCCTCCAGGGAGGTCTGTGAAAAAAGTTTATTCAGTCAAGAAAAAAGTGCCACCGGTGCTGGGGAGCCATGCTCCCCCAAGAACAGCAGAGGGCGGGCGTTGCCACCCTGGGTCTGGCCCTCAGTCATAGGCCTCATCCTCGTCCTCATCCTCGTCGCCGAAGAAGAAAACCTCGCGGCCCAAGTCCTCAGACTCCTCGTCGTAGGAGAAGCTGTCATTGTCGAGCTCCTCGTCAAACTCGTCCTGCCTCCACGCTGGTGCCTCGTCCTCGTCCTCCACCTCCAGCCCCTTGGAGCCCTGGGGCCTGGGGGAGCGGCCACACTCAGCCCCGAGCAAGCCTGGTGGCCCCACATCCCTCCATGCACAGCCTGCCCGACCAATCGACTCACTGACTGCCGGGCACGTTGCAGCCTTTCGCCTCCCGGGGCTCGAAACACGAGGGGCTCTGGAGACCAACCCGGAAGTCCTGGCAGGAGTAAAAGGATTGGGGGCAGGGGTGGGATGCTGGGTCTTTGCACCTGGTACTCCATCCACTAGCCTTTTCACGCCTGGGTGTTTGCACCCCCACAGGGGGACACGGTCTAGGATCATCCCCCCAAAGATCCTGAGGAGCTCCTGGCCAAGGACCACCTTTTGGGACCCCAGGAGACTCAATGACCAGTCCACCACCACTCAGTGTGCCCCAGACTCCTAACCCACCCCCCAACCCCCGCCCCAGGGTGGGCAAGGGCGGCACCTGGGCCGAGTGCTGCAGGATAGCAAGCAGCCGCTCCTGGATGCGCCGCAGCAGCTCCAGGCCCGTGTTCAAGCAGTCGGCCCGCAGCAGGCGCAGCGAGGAGGCCAGGTCTCGGCAGCGCAGGAGGCTCTCCTCTGCAGAGGGGCAGGGCCAGGTGCAGGGGTCCTCACTCCCACCCCCACCTGCCTTTCCAGACACCATTCCCATCCTCATGGAGCCCCCAAGGGAAAACCTGGTGGAGGTGCATGCAGGCCAGACGGGGACAGTGTGGGCTTGAGGACCCCGTGTGGCACAGTGGGGAGGAGAGGGACGGGGAGGCTGAGCCTCACCGAGGAGGATCTGCAGGGCGTTGGTGTGCAGCTCCAGGTTCTCTGTCTGCTGCTCCACCACGTCCATGTACTCGGCGTCCTGGTTGTAGAAGCTGTACACGCAGGCGTAGGCCAGCACCTGGGGGAGCGAGGGTCAGCCCTCCCACGCCTACCCTCTATCCCAGGCACAGAAGGAGCCAAGGCCATCAGCCCCATGGCAGGCCCGCCCACCCTGCCCCCCACCGGTGGCACCTTGCGAGCCTGCTCCAGTCCTCGGCAGGCATCAATGATAAAGGTGAAGGCTTTTGGCGGAGGCACCTCATGGATGGCACATACCCGGTTCCGCAAATTGACAGCAAACTCCTGTCCAGAGGAAGCGCCCACCACCACCCGTCAGGACACATGCCTGCTCCCACCCTGCTTCCCTGGGGCCCGCCCGCCCACCCCAACCCCCTACTCACCCGGGCCTGGTGGTGGAAGGTGCACCTTTCGTTGTAGTCCTGGAACCGCTTCTCCTGGCGAGCGGCTCTGCTGACCTGGGAGACACAGGGCGGGAGCTGTGGGGTGCATGGCTCCAGTCTTACATAAGCCCACACCAATCCCCAGCTGTCCAGTCAGCTCTCACGCATAGGAGTCACATGGTTTCTCAGACTTGTAAATCTGTACAGGAGCAGACAGCCTCATCTTTCTCCCTCAGAGCAGCTGGGGGGGGTCTGTGGTGCCAACTTTGTGCTAATAGACTAGCACTATCTGCCAGTGCCATCAGGGCTCCTAAAAAACAAACTAGTTTAAACACTCTCTCCACAGCTCTCCACAGTGCGCCCAGGGTGCGGCTTCTGATCCTTCCCATGGTGAGGGAGCCGCCATCACCGCCCATGTCCCTGGTGAGGCAGGGAGCAGTAACTGACTTGCCCGAGGCCTCATGCTGGCTGATCTCCCTCCAAGCCCCTGCCCGTCCCCTCTGCTGCTGCCCTCTGGAGAATGCCCAGCCTACCTGCCCTCTCTAGCCCCCATGCAGAAGTCCTACTTGGGACTGATTGAGAGGCCCTTGTGAACAGACTGCCACTGAGTCGGCTCTGGACACACAGCCCCCTCACCATGGCCGAGCAGTTGTAGTAGTCTTTGTGATTTGGCTTCCAGGGCTTGAGGCAGCGCCAGCAGAACCCATGGTTGCATTTGGCACAGGTCATGCTACGGAGAGAACTCGCTGGTCAGAGGGAAGGCCGCGGCCCTGGAGGCCCCTGTCTCCATCCCCTCCCCAGGCCACCCCTACTGAATGCACCCTGGCTTTTGCATCCCCCCAGGGTGGTAGACCAAGAGGAAACAAGGCACTTTAAGGTCCTGGGGCCCCCTGTGGGGTTGAGGTCCTGTGAAGGGCGGTGGCTGCCTTGTTTGGGAAGCTCCGACCTTTCTTCTTCTGGTTTTCCCTCCACAGACAATCCTCCCCGTCCCCCCACCTGATGCTCCTGCCCACAATCCCACTTCTTACTGCAGACACCCCTCGTTCTTCTCGATGGGGGCCTGGCAGCTGGGACAGCGCTTGGAGATGAGTTTGGCCAGGTGCTTGCTCTGGGCCTCCACGCTCATTCCGTCGTAGTAGCCGCCGTCGTCGACCCACTGAGACATGTGTCCACAGCTGGCGGGGTAGTGCGCCTGGGGCAGGATGGCACAGTGAGAGGGAGGACAGGGCACAGGCCACTGGTGGAGCCATGAAAGCCACCAGCTGGGGGAAGGGATGAGAGAAGGGCCAGGTGGTCTGTGTGACGGAAGAGTGGCAGGGCTGGGTGGGTGCCCACCTCAGGGAAGCTACAGCTGAAGCAGGAGGCCCAGCCACACTTGGAGCAGGCGGTGCCACTGCCCAGACCCTGGCGGCACAGAATGCGGTCGCAGCCCTGGGGGTTGGTGCACCAGGTCAGGTTGGAGCAGCTCTCCACGTAGCCCCGAAGGAGGGCCTTCTCGTACTGTGGAACATGGGGTCAGGGGTGAGGCCATGGCCTGAGGGGAGGCCAGCCCCTCCCATCACCAGCCGCCCCCGGGCTACCCCTGCAGCTTGCCGCGAGCGGACACCTTGGAGATGACCTCCGGGGAGGAGACAATGGCTCGAATGAAGGCCCCAGTGGGCTGGGCAGGGCAGTCAGCAATGGGGCAGGTGCAGTGCAGCACGAGGTTCTGCTCAATTCGAGTTGTCAGATACTCCTTCCAGCAAGACTGGGGAGGGACAAAGGGGAGTGGCTTCAGAGGTGGAATCCTGGCACCCCACTCTCAGTCCCCGGCCATGACAACGGAAAGGCCAGAGGGCAGCGGGCTTCTAGGTCAGCCTCAAAACCAGCTCACGCAGGCTTCCCTGGGGTTGGCTTGGGCTCAGGGACTCGCCCCGAACCTTGGGGATGGACAGGAAGACAAGGGGTCAGAGAGGACTCGGGAAAAGAAGTCAGAGAGAGCAAGGTCAGAGAGAGGTGGTCTGGGACCTTCTTCCCACTGGATGGCTGGCCCCCAAACCAAACTCACTGCCATCGCGTCGATGCCAACGCATGGTGGCCCTGGAGGACATGTACAAGGGCCCTGTGGACTTCCGAGACTGAAACTTTTTATGAGGGTAGAAAGCCCTGTCTTGCTTCTAAGAAGCAGCTGGTGGTTTCAAACTGCTGGCCTCGTAGTGAGCACTCCAACTCCTAACCACTAGGGCTCCTGAAAATGAAGACAGCTATCTGCTTGCCTCCCCTGCCTCGGCCAGGGGTCCCTTCTCCGAATCACGCCCGCCATCGCCCCCCATCCGGCTCCAGGGCAGCGCGTCAGAGCCCTCAGGCTCCCAAGTCCCACATCTGCTCATGGATCCCTGCCTGCATCAGGCCAGTGCCCCTCAGCCCCAGGCGGCTGCAAAAGCCCGTCCAGTGAAGAGGGCGCCGGCTTCCACTGCTCTGCACTCCGTCCATTTGCTCCGTGCGTGGCCTGGGCACTGAGAGAGTCCATTAGTGACTCCTCCCCCTGACATTAGTTTAGTACTGCCCACCTCTCAGAATACTGCCCAGGTGGACAGCAGGCCCGTATCAAAACCGCAGGAGAGCCGAAGAAGCCCCTTGCCGGACAGCTCTCACGGGAAGGAAACAAACCCAGAGAAACAGTAGCTGAATACAAAATGGGAGCATTTTAGATAAGATGGGAAACTTCCCCAGATGCTGTATGGGTGCATGCACACGGGTGCCCAGGGAGCTAGCAGGTGAGAAGGTGGGGGCACTGCAGCGTCAGGAGACTCTGGGTCTGGACTCACCGGTGCACCACTGAGCAGCCCCCTATATTGGGGACTCGGGTTATGGTGCTTCACCTCACCCCCTCTGTACACCTACCACCCACCACCCACTACTCCAGACTCCAGCACCCCAGGGCTTCCCTTCTCACTGCATGCAGCCCTCTGCCAACTCGGCTGTGACTTACTCCCAGGTGGCAGGCCTCTCTTTCTCGGCCCCGCTTGTCAGCTCCCTGTCTAGGAAGGCGCTCTGGTGCGTACTGGTTACTGTTTGGGCTGCAGTCCACAAGGTCTGCAGTTCGAAACCACCAGCCACTCTTCGGGAGAGAGCCAGGGCTTTCTACTCCATAAAGAGTTAGTCTCAGAAACTCACAGGGGCAGGTGTTCCCTGCCCTGTGGGGTCGCTGGGAGTTGCCATCAACTGGAAGGCAGTGAGTTGGGTTTGGTATTTAAATGGTTGTTTGTTTAAAGTCTGTGGAAAGAAGACTGAAAGAGAATTTGAGAAGCTTTCTAGGAACTTCCAGAAGCCCCCTTGTATGTCTCGGGGGCAGGGTTATTGCTTTAGGGCTTGGTTGCCTGCACCTGTATCCCCTCTTTCTGCGTGGTGCCAGCCCAGCCTCTCCCCTAAACTCTAAGCTCAAAACTCCACAGGTCACTTCCCAGTCTCTAGAGTTGGGCTACAAAGTGTTTCCAAAGTCCATGGCCAACATAAATTGGTTGGGGTTTGGGAGTGTCCCCAATTATAAAGAGCTGCGGGGCAGGGAACATGTGGCACTTAGCCCAACCCCACCCGCTGCTCTCCGCCCACTTGATCCTGGCCTGAAGACCACTCATTCCAGCTCGCCTATTCGACAGCAGCAAGCCTGCACTGGCCATGATTCTCTCCTATTTTGGGGCTACTCTCTGGCATTTACATTCTGTATTACGTGACAGTACATGAGAAAAGACGTGCCAGTATTCTGAGATGAGGGAACTTCTATGGTGATAAGAACAAAATAAAGTTCTTAACACTAATGCTTTCTCATTTACAAAGGGCCTGGGCATATACTTTATGCCACTACCTTTGTGTACAGCATTAATTTTATTGATGATACTTGTATGAAATATATGCTAAGGCCCTTTGGAGAGAGATCCCACTACGCCCCTGCCAGTTCTGATTCAGTGGAATACGTTGCACACATCAGATGCCTCAGTTCCCCTCCAGGGAGCCTGAGTCCATTCCCTGCGGTATAGCTGGGCATCAGGAGTATTAAGAGCTCACTAGGTAATTATTAGGAGCTCTGCTGGCTTAGTGGCTGCTAACCGCAATGCCTAGTTCAAAACCACCAACCTCTCCACAAGAGAAAGATGAGGCAGTCAGTCTACTCCCGTCAAGAGTAACCGTCTCAGAAACCTACAGGGGCAATTCTACCCTGGCCTTACAGGGTCGCTACAAGTCAGCTTTGACTGGATAGTAGGGAGTTGGTTTTTGTTTTCTGAGATAATTACCATGGATTCCACTGCCCTTCCGGGTCAAGGCAGGCGGGCACCATTTACAAGTGCCAAACCAACGTAAGGGGCCCAGGTAAGTGAATGGCAGTGTTCCCAAGAACTGCATGAGGTGGGAAGGTCTGGGCAGGAGACACTGGGGGGCCTCACCTTACAGCAGGAGTGCATGCAGCAGAGAGAGGGCAGATCGTCGTCGGGCTCCAGGGGGCTGATGCAGACCGGACACTGGGCAGGGCGGGCAGGGGGGGTCTGGGCCTGGGGGACGCTCAGCCCAGATGCCAGCAGCAGCGGCTCAGGGTTCTCGCTGTAGCTCTGCAGCAGCTGCTCGGCGCCCCAGTGGGAATGAGCCAGCAGGTGCTGAGCCACGTCTGCCTCCAGGCTCAGTGTCTCCTGCACCTGCCGCACCATCTGCTCCATGAGCCCCTCCACCTCCTGAGGGCTCATGGTGCGGCCTGCAGGCAGCTGAAGGGAAGCCAGCGCAGCCACAGCCTCTGGGCTTGGGGTAGGGAGTAAGGAGTAAAACAGCAGTCAGGAGCTCTCCTTGCAGTCACTACTTCACCTGCTCTCCATCCCCCTTGCTGCCCACCCACTCAAGGACAAATGCCAGGACCCACTGTTGCTGACTCAGAGGACCCAGAAGAGAGTGACAATATGGGTGTGGGGCTGGTTGCCACCAAGACTGGAGCACTGTGAGGGCTGGTGGACAGGGGCCCAGATGCTAGCTGACTACCCAGAACCTGTGGTGAAGGAGAGTAGTCTATAGTCCCACCCTGTGTGGTCTGTGGGCCTGCAGCATGGACGGCCCCTGAGTAGTTTGAAATGCTAGCTCTCCTGCCCACCCCAGACCTGGAAGCTGACGCTGAAGCTTAACAAGCTCCTCAGGTGAACTGGTTCTAATGGTAAAAAGCTCTAAGGCAGCGGTTCTCAACCGGTGGGTCGAATGACCCTTTCACAGGGGTCGCCTGGTTCGTAACAGTAGCAAAATGACAATGAAGTAGCAAGGAAAATCATTTGTGGTTGGAGAGGGTCACCACCTCATGAGGAACTGTGTGAAAGGATTGCGGCATTAGGAAGGTCTAGGACAACGGTAATGTCAAGTTCTGGGATGCTCACTGAGCAGACTATTTCACCTGTGCTTACAACGAGGCCCCTTACCTAAGTAAGGCTGGCCCCTTGCCTCAGGCTGACTCTAGGCAGATGGGGACAGCAGGGCTGGAGGTCCCTGGGGGCTCCGTGCCAGCTCACAGGGACCGGGCACACAGACAAAGCAACGCAGCATTCTCCCACGGAGGAGCCTGTAGGGCAGGCTGTGCCCCTCGTCTCACTGCTGCCCACCTATCCCTCCACACTGGTGGTGGGGGTGGGGACCCTGCCAGCAGGGGGCAGTGCAGGCAGCTACCTGGGCTTGGGGGCCGTGCCACTCTGGTTGCCACAGAAGGGGACATCTGCCTGACCCCGACAGGGCCCTGTGGGCTCTGGGGTCGCATACACCAGGATCTGCGGCCGGTCGTCACGCCGCTTCATGTAGCCCTGGCCCAAGAGGTGCAGGATGCAGGAGAGAACATCTGTACTGGTACAGGCCACACCCCCCGGAACGGAGCGGCCCAGACTTCCGGGTGGGTTTGGACCCTTCTGCCAGGCCTCCAGCACCTAGGGAGGAAACAACAGATTCGAGAGTCAGCCTGCTCGGATTCAAGGCCCAGCTCTGCATGGAAAAGCTCAGTAAGGACTGGGTGATTGCTTTCCTGGACCTCGAGTTTCTTAGGGGTCAAATGGGGATAACACTAGGGTCATCTAGCTCTGAGGTGTGTCATGAGGATTAAACGACTTCATTCAGGTCATGCCACCTTGCAGACCAGGGTCCGGCACGCGGGAAACCTCTTGACTTGTCTCCACTCTGACTGTCCTGTGGGGCAAGCTTTGGGCTGCTGAGGGCAAAGACGGTGGGAGACAGAGGAGGCCGCCTGCTCCGCAGAGACACGCAGCCTCAGCAGCCCCAGGCAGGGTCGCTACAAGCGGGAATGGCAGTGAGTCTGACCTGTCAGGAACAGAGAACCCTGAGAGAACTAGTACCGCACTGAAAGAAGAATCAGTCCCACTGCCAAGTTGTCCGGACTTGGCGACCGTTAGACAAGCAGAGCTACCCCGTTGGGTTTCTGAGGAGCAGACAGCGCATCTTTCTGCCTCAGAGCAAAGGGGTGGTTTTGAACTGCTCGTCTTGTGGTTCGCAGCCCAATTTGTAACCCGCTACGCTGCCAGGGTTGCTAGCACCCTATAGAAGTCTCCTATTAAAGGAGTTTGTCTTCCTGTCCCAAGCCCTACGTCAGTCTCATCTGCCAGCAGCTTCCTGGGCCCTCCCACCTACCAGACAAACGAGCTGGTCAATGTGAAGGCCCCTTTCCCCCTGGGCTTTGAGAATTCGGACGAGAAGGCAGCTCAAGAGGTTCCTCTTCTGCTCCAGGGTTCGCCCTTCATCCTTCTCCACACTCAGGTACTGCTGGGGGGGTATCAGCCACAGCGCCTCCTCGTTGGGCCGGGGCCCAGGCTCACGGAGCCGCAGCACACCTGCAATCATGACGGGGGAGGCACAGGCAGTGGGGGGTCAAGAGGACACCCCTATCCTCACGCTCTACTGCACTAACCACCTGCCCCTGGAGAGCCGCAGAGCTCAGAGCAGGGGCTCGGCCCAGTCCCAGTGACCTACCCCTATTGGGGAAGTCCTGGCCCTCATGCAGGCTCAAAGGGCCCTTCTCCGAGGTGAGAGGCAGAAGTGCCTGGAGCAGCAGCTCTGGAGAGAGGTCTGAATTCTTCAACAAGGTCTCCACGGACACCTCCTGGTGGGGAGAAAGGCCCTTAAAGGCCCCGTGGAGCTGCCCCCAAGGGGAAGGAAAAGAAGTGGGGTGGGCGCAGGGGGTGGAGGGGCAGGCTTTAGGAGAAGAGTGACAGACAAGGGGGACAAGGGGACAGAGAGAGGCTGGGCACCTCCATCTGATTGAAGTGCAGCAGCAGCCACATCTGCACGGTGGACACATGCAGGGTCTGGTCGCCAAACTGCAGCTCCGCCCGGCCCAGCCACGTCCACTGCAGCCGTCGGTGTGGGCCCATGTCTAGGACAGGATGGTTCTGACCTGGGGGTATTGACAAGGGCTAGAGGTTGGGTGAGGGCATGCCATCATGTCTCCACAGGAATCAGGGCCCCAGCGTTTAGACGCAAAAGCTCCTGGTCT